GGCACCATATGTAACTTGTTTACCACAAAAGATTTTGTTTTTGTTTTTAATATGCTAATAACTGTCCTCTTTCATCTGCCTGTCCCTTTTAACATGTTCGCTCTCCACTGAAGAAACACACACATCAGCTTTCAACAACATCAGCTTTAGTTCATTTAGGCTCTGTTAAAGCTTAGCAATTCCCAACAGAACCCACAGTATGTTCGTCTTTAATGGGAAATGCAAGAGGACTGGAGGCACGAGGTGTGACTGTAAATGAGGTTACAATTATTTCATCATGCAAAACCCTTTTCTTTATAGTTTTAACTTGAATGATTCCACTTGTTGCAATGCAGGACGCAGATCTGTTTTCAGTCTTGTCACGTCGCTGTATGACTTCTGCTTGATTCACACAATCATTATTAGAAAAACTCAAATTCACTTAATTATCCTATTTGAAGGAACTATAGTTGTTTTTTTGACAATCTGTTTCCATGTCTCTTTGCTTCGGTGTGAAGAGCACATGTATAGAAACAGTCTGGAATAGATTTTGTGCAGCAGATGATAATCAAACGTGGGTGATCTACTGTAGCATGTGTTGAGAACAGATGTTTTGCAGTAGAACAGAAAATGAAGCATATTGCAGATTTGATATCACAACAATAAAACAGTCATATGTGGTAGAAAAGGTGATGCAAGAAAAAGAAATTTGCTCCAAAACAATGTTTCATATATATTTCTGTATATAAAAATCAGTGTATTGACGACAAGTGAAAAGCATCTATTTGCACATGATTTCAAAAGGTGAGTCACAGATAAAACACAAATCCCTCTTTAGTTATTTGCGCAGGGTTTTGAACCTGCGGTCTCTGACATATTTAAGAGTCATCTGACATTTATTTTCCCCCTTCTTTTGAGCCTGTTTAATCTATGCACCGTACTTAAAGCATGCTCACATTCACATTCACATCCACTGTGTGATTGCTTGATACCAAAGTAAATAAAAGCGACGTGGAAGACAGCAGCTCTTGGGTTTCCATTTCTTTTCCCGACAGTGCTTAGGGCATGGCAGGGTTTGGGGTAGAAAAGTGAAGATATTTTGGTACGGCACCAACATTTTTAGTTTCCTTTACTGAACTCATTGATGACTAGCTGTGAAGTGGGACGAGAGGCACGGTAGGGGGTGTGTCAGCAGCTATCTTTGATGTTAAGGATTTGCACTTGTGTTGCCTGCTCAGACCATGTCAGGCGTCTGCTTTTGTGGATTTTAAAAACAGCTAATTTGACACTGATATGTTTTTTTTCGGGGAGGAATTAATAAGGTACTAATGTTCTAGTAATATATCCTCAGGACATGGTTGCTGCGTGCGTGACTGCCAGTGTGCACCCTGACACACACAAAGAGAGGAATGTGAAGGTAAATGCATCCCATAGATGTCAAAGAGCAGCTGGTAATTACCCCCTCACCAGTAGCCAAATAGCATGTGGTTCACTGCCAGTTTCTGTTTGGCTCTTGGCTTATTATCACTGAACCAACTCCAACATTGGGCAACAGTTCTTCTTGGATTGGAAGAACTTCTTAACGAAATGCATTATATCCTCCCCAGCTAATTTAACATTATTTGCCCACAGCCTGTTACTTTTGTGATTCCCTTTTATGGACATTGGTTTTCTCCGTGGGAGAAACTTTTTTTTGGCAGAACCATACTTCAGACAAGAGTTATATTTGTGAAAACTTTAACTTGGAGTACTGTTCACAAGGATTGATTTGAGAAAAGTTGCAAAAATGTGAAAACATACTGTGTGAAAATAGGAAGTATGGAGTATGTATGCTAAGCAGCCACATACTTAGAGCAATATAACAGCCTAATCTTATTTTCCAAATTATACTTTCAGCTTAAAGCGCAATAGGAAGCTAACAGTAACATCATGTTAACATTGCCAATGTAAGCTCTTTCTGCCTTTAATTTCATCTGCTTAAGTTAATACAAATTCATATGATGAATGCTGAACTGACCAATTTTACCTGGGATGTCCCAGCTAGCAGCTGGCTTACTGTCTGCTAATTGACAGAGCAATGGCTGTAGCAGCTCCAACGACATTGATTGCTCAGAAATTGAGTGCCACTTGTGTCCTAACCACAGTGTTTCAGACCAATCGACGTCCTTGGTGGAGGAACTACTGACAGCTGCGGCATGAGCAATAGGTGTGGCTCTGCTGCTATAAAATGAAGGTTTGTGGGCATCAAGCTCTTTGGTAGCTGCTGAAAAAAAGTGAGATACTGAGAGTGTTCCTCTAAAGCTCTAATTTCTCTTCTTCACTTAAGAGCAACAAACTCTCTTGTCAAATCAGCGTGAGTTTATGTAAAAACACATGCTCTTCAGAGAGTTATTTGGTTGGTTTTATGTCTTTTCCACCCTTTTTAACTAATTTATTAAGAACAGAGAGTGGTGTACAGAATGTGAATATATTTTGCTTGAGAGAGCAAAACCCTCTTTCTTTTCCAGTTGTTTATGTTCATGTAATTGTTCAAATTAATTGAATGAAACATTTTCCCTGTACAACAATCAGTTGTGGGATTTAACAAATTTACTCATGTACTGTATCCAAGAACTTATACTTCTCCACTACATCTCAGAGGCACATATCATACTTTTTACTCCATTACATTTGTATGAAAGAAATACTTTTCAGATTGCAGTTTTTTGTACAATTTCTGTTTTGTGAAAACCATGTCTCCCCAAATCTAGTGATTCTGAATGTGGATTCTTCTGATAAACTGATTTATACTTCTCAAACTAAATAAACAATTTAAACCCTTCTTGGATTAGCTGCATTGTCTCAGACCTGAAAGCAGGGCAGTTTTATGCTGATACTTGTTCTCATAGGACATCAACACTACAAACATATGATGATCTTATGAAATATAATGCATTGCTGTAGATTAAACTACCCAACAGTATATTACGTAGTTACAGTTAGCTCAACTACAGCAGCAAATTGCAACAATCACATCAATGCAGCAGTATATTAATCCGAAAACATCATCATCATTTTTCTGCTAAATTACTACTTTTGCTTTTGATAAGTGATTTATATACTTTATATACTTTTACTAAAGTAAGGTTTTGAATACAGGGCTTTTGTAGTGGAGTATTTTCATAATGTTGTTTTGCTATTTCTTAGCAAAGCAATGCTAAAAGCTGTCCATAATGTGTTTTTGTGCTAAATATATTTGAATGTCTGGGAGCACGAACACCGTTGGTGATAGTGTTGCTCACTATACTGAACAACTCTAAAAAACTGAAACCAAAGATCCATAGCAGTCCAGCTGGTGGTGCGTCCTATCAGTTATATAAAGGAACGATGATTTCTGAGCGAAGGAACTAACTGTGAAATGACACCCATCCTGAATATGCCATTGATGGCCAACATAAAACTGTTGGTGCACATTACTACATGCAGAAAACATTTTCACTAGGTGTCACCAGCTGCTGTTAATGTGAATGAGAGCAGCTGGTGACTTATTACTTCTATGTGAACTGTTTTTCGGGCCACCTCTGTTGGACCAGTGCCTGTGGACATGAAATTACCAAAAAATTCAGTCAGTATCTGATAATATCAGCTGATATGCACTGATACACTCGTATTATCGTGGCTTTAATGGTGTAGATCCCATCAGCAAGAATGCTTTAATATTCACTACAATATGAATCATGAATATTGTAATAAAATGATGACTTTAAGGAGTCAGCTCTTTTCTCTGTCTCCATGCTGCCTCATAAATTTGGATTTCATTTTCACATGGTAATGACACTCATCTCTACTTAGCCACTTAACTGACTGAAAGTGATTAGCTACTCTTAATTCCTAAAAGTTAGAGCTGCATTGCTCCACATCAAAATTTGGATATTTGGCTACATTTTTAGTTTTGGTATTTTACCGGAGTTTTGCTGATATTAAAATTGTAAAATTGATTATCTTGGTAGAGAGATCCAAAGAGACACAGTGATTCTCTGACCTTGTAAAGTGTATATCACATCAGCATTAGATGCAGCAAATACAAAAATAAAGAAATCACATATACAGGATGTGCCTATAAAAAGTTAAAAGCTCACTGCAAATATTATAAAATATTCTACATTCGATGGATCGTTTCACATTTGGAGAATTACACTTTCTTGTTGAGTTAGATGGGACGATTGATAAAACTCTCCTATCTCTCTGTTAACCGTGAGGCTACAGTCAGCAGGTGGTTAGCTTAGCTTAGCATAAAGACTGGGAATAGAGGAAACAGCTGGCGATATAACATTAAACAAAAAATACCCCAAGATAGCCAGGAAACCACTGGAGGGATGATCTAGGGAATCACTGCACCTGACCAAGAAATATAATAATTGTATTTCCCAACATGTCAAGCTATTTCTAACAAACAAACAAACTATATTCTCTTTCATGTACAAATGTTGATAGGGCACTATTTTAGCCATTGCTGTATTAAGGAGAACTGTTGGTTTGTTGGAGGCAGAGCTCTGTTCATTCCTATGCTGCTCAGTGGTGCAGGGAGCCAAAAAGGTTTGACTTTCAGGCATAAAATTACCTGCACTTCAACCTGCAAGCAGGCTAACTTCCATTCCACTAACTTTAATGGGAATAAAATGATTTAATCATGCAGCTCTTCTAGACTTTCCAAATGTTATTAGACCAAATGGATTGAGTTCTAAGAGTGAAATTAGTCATTTTGCAAGTTTTCAGCTGCTCCTTTCACAATATAAGCACATGGGGAAAAGTCTGTGCTTCATGTGACGTTGGCATTACACGGTTTGCCCACTGTGTTAAACTGGCTTCAGAACGCAGCTCTCTTCCTGGGGGATTGAATTTAGCGAAGTGATGAATGCACTTTCTTTCCATTTTGTACTAAATCTTGAAATTATACAAAATATGTACTAATAGATGTTAATCAAACTCTGATGGATGCATTGCTATATTCAATTTTGAAAAATTCACAAACCGCAAGAATATTTTTCAAGGATGAATACTTATTTTTATTGTTTTTGTTTTCTGATAATTTCTTGAACCATCAACAAATATAAGCCCTTTATCAACTGGGAGTAGCTCCTCCATTTCCATGTGCACTGCACTATTTTACAATAGTGTCCACTAAAAATTAGGGACATTTTAGTATGCAAAATGACCCTTTCAAGTATACTTTACTATGTAATGGTTTCTATGTGAAGGCCTTACATACTTAAGACATGGTTACAAATACGTTAAGTAGATGTGGATGTGTTACTAGGACACATGGATGAGTCAAATTGACTAAGTCTGATACCTGATTGGTTATTCAGCATTAAAAAAAGAACAGAGAAATGTGTCTCTTACAGAATTTTGGTATACCATCACTTCACGAGTCAATACAATATTCGTAATACAAAGATCATTAACTTTTACATTTGACCCTAAGACAAGGGATGTCTGACCATTTGATAGTGACACAGAGAGAAAGAAAAATGGAGAAACCACAAAAACAGAGAGGTAGGCACTGTAAGAATCCCAAACACAGGTTATGTGCTGTTGAAGCCTGACCTGAACCCCACTGAGGCCACAGGGACTAATTGTTAATTAAGCCAGGCTGATGAAAAAGAGCTCAAGTGTAAATGAATGTGTCAGTCTGGAGGAGCACTCAGATACACCTTTTACCCCCACAAAGGAAAATCAGCATTATTTTAAACTTGACAGTGCACTCCAGCAGTTCAGAGCGGCTGGTTATTATTCATGGTGAAATTAAAGTTCTGATGTTGTTGGTAAAAATGAGAGAGGGAGGGAAAAAAAATGAAGGAAAAAAAACAAAAAGAAGAATGAGGAAGAAAAAGGTATAAATCATAGCTGACAGTGTTTAAGTCTGTGGCTTTTGGAAATGTGTGTGTCACTGTATCGAGGTGTACAATAAATTGTACCTTGGGGCAAAAGGTGGAAAGAGGGAAGAATATGAAAGGATGTCACTGACTTTTTCTGAAGCAGAATAAAAAATGACCACAGCCCCTTTTATTGACAAAATCCTCGCAGGCTTTCCTGATGTTCAGCTGTCTAATCAATGACCAAATGACTGTCATCTACTGTGTCTAGCCTTTGCCTGTTCCTGTGGCCTGGGGGCAAGACTGAGGCAGGTTTAAGGCAATGTCCCTGAGACTGTCTCTTTCTTCCCTGATCTCCTGTAAGTCCTGTTCAATGAGGGACATCCGGCTCTGTTGTTCCTTAGCAGCCGACTGCAGCTTCTGGATTTTCAAGCCCAGTGTCGGGCTCTCAACGCTCCCTCGAAGCATGCTCAGGCGGCGTGCTGTCTCGTTCAAGATCCGGTCAAATCTCTCCAGCGGCACGTTCCCATCTGGTCCAGACATGCAAGAGAGAGAACAGATGGAGGAAGAGGAAGCCCCAGACAGAGGCATCAGAAGTTTTTGTTTTGTAGATCATGGTTTGTAAATGGCAGTCATACATCAGTGATTCAAATGTTGGATCAGCCTGAACACTGACCTAATTACAGTGATTTGGTCATTATCCTCTCAAGCATGTTAACATATTGAGCACTAAGTGCTAGATCCCTGCCTTTCTAGTTAATTCTACAAATTGTGCAATACTTTATACAAGAAATTGGTTTGCATTAATAGGATCACAAATACACAGCTGAATTATTTTAACTCACTGAAATCTATCCACAAAGAAAATACGACAGGGCCCTAAGAACAGCAGTTATTCTTGCTTTACCATGGGGATAAAAGTCTGGGAAATATTTCCATGTTAAATGAGGCATTCAAAGGCACAGAGCTCTTTAGTGATCTGACATTTAAGGTGTAATGAAGATTTATGAGTTTTATAGATATGGAAGACTAAAAAGTAACCACAGTGAAAATCATCTGTAGGAGAGAGACTTACCAATTTTGCTGATTAACTCAGTTAGAGTAACAGAATAAGCCTTTAACTGAAGCTTGGCTGCTTCCATGTCCTCCTTTACGCTGGTCAGGGACACCTCAGGCTGGAAATAAGAAGACATACTCTTCAAACAGTCTTTCAAGCTATGCACAGGAAGTACAGATCAATATGCATAGATTCTGCTGTCCAAGTGTGTATATATCTTTGTTAGGTACCTCCGAGGTGATCTGGGAGTTGGCTGTGTCAGTTAGCGTCTCCTGCTCAGCTAACTTTTGTAAAGCTGAGTCTACATGGGAGTGAAGGTGAGCAGACGCAGTCCTTGTATGCTTGGCCTGGGTCAGAATGGCTTTGGATTCCTGCACACAAAATATATATAAAAATATTTGCAGAACAATAATAAGAATTCACAGCCATTCTAGCAGAATGTGAGTGTACGTATTCTCACTTTTTGAGCTAAAATGTTTGCATAAGAATACGCTCAGAATGACATTTTACATTTTTACCATTTTCACCATTTAATTTTAGTGTGTTAGCGTCTTAAAATCTGCTAATTAGCAATAAATACAAAGTACAGCTGAGGCTGATGGGAATGTCATAGTTAACTCTGTGGCTTCACCCTCCCCTTTCCAGGCCTGTATGACAAATTATGGTGGTCGTAAGAACATATTAAAAACAGCCCTATCTACAGCCAGTGTTTGGTTTGTAGGTTCTGGGCTATGGTAGAAACATAGCGGTTCAACATGGCAGCCTCCACGGAGGGCAACCTGTTGCATCTGTAGATAAAAACAGCTCATTCTAAGGTATGAAAACACAACAATTCCTATATTCAGGTCTTTATACACTAATGAAAACATACCTAAGAATATTATCTTCCATTTCTGCCAATAGGTCCTCCTAAATGTTGCACACTGGACTTTTAAGGGATCAACAGAGTTATTACAGTTCATCCCGACTGGACACATACCTTTGCCACAGCATGTGCTGTTTGTTCCACCTCCTTCGTTGTGTTGCTGGAGAGGCTGGAGTTCTCCAGAGCTGGTTCTAGGATCTTCTCAATTTGTGAAACTCTTCTCCTGACATCAGCTAGAACCTTCTCCTCCAGGGGTTTTTCCTTCTTTATTGCAGTGTGGGTCTGGGCCTGCCGACGGGGCCACTCCCTCACCATGTCTGAATGGAGATTGTGAAGAAGGCAGGTAAAAGACCTAAAAACTTGGTTTAAAATCCTATAAAAGTATTTTCCTATAATGTTAAGGTTATGAGACATAAAGACATTCAGAGGTATTTTTTATTAAGAGTTTAACATTACAAAACTTAACTAATTCCACATTATCAGGGCTGTGTGGATGTTGTTTTAACAGATTTGATTGAGAGACCATCAACCCACCAACTGTCACCAGATACTGGGTCAAATGTTGCTAAATCTGATTGGTGCATGGATTTATGGGACATCACAAATGTCCCGACCACTTCAAACCAGCGAGCTCAGACAAAAACACAGATTTTATTTTCATTATTCATCCTCTGCTTATTTTGTGCTACTTTACTATTACAATGAAAGTCTAAGAAAATCACAAAAAACACTTAGGATTCTCTTCATGTATCATAAACAGCCAGAATTTCATTAATATAGTTGATGCCGTAAAACTCCTCAAAACATCCCACTTCATTAAATGTTTTACCTAAGCCAATGCTGCATTCAATACATGCCAAGTAGATGAAAACATTACAATGGTGATGACATATTTATTATAGTAATACTAGTCTGTAATAATAGTCTGTAGCTCTTATGTTTGTTTTCAGTGTCAGTACTTGACATTTCAATTTGAGTAGAATAATTCAGTTCGACGTTCAACAAAAACAACAATGTATGACAGACAGTGAAGAGAGTGAAAAGGAGAAACAAGTAAGATAGACGGATATAAACTCACTTTCTAGTTCTTTGTGCAGTGTGATGACGTCTGATTCCACCTCTTTCCCTGTCACCACAGACGACAAAGCCTTGACCTTTGCCCCTTGAGCGCGAACTTGCAGCTTGAGAAAGAGACACATTACCTCAGTTGATCCGAGTGTATTAAAGGCTTGCAACAACAGGTATCAAAGGCTTTACTGTGGTGTAAACTGGAGGGAGGACAGTGTACCGTGGGTATTTACCTAGGCACAGCTGCATTCTGAGCTAAATGCTAACATGTGCACAATGTTAATGCCAACATGTTGATGTTTAGCAGGTGCATTGTTTACAATATTCACCATCTTAGTGTTTATTGTGTTAGCGTGCTAGCCTTCGCCAACTAGCAATAAGCACAAAGAACAGCAAAGGCTGATGGGAATGCTGTTATTTTTGCATGGTCATAAACCAAAGTATTGCAAAAATTGAAGGGATCAAAAGTTATTACAATTCATCCTGAAGGGAACATGATTGTCTGTACCAAGTGGCATATCATCCTTCCAGTAGTTGTCGAGACATTTCATTTAAAACCACAAATCTCAACCTCATGGTGGCACTAGAACAAGTCAGGATTCATCCTCTGGGTACCAGGAATGTCTGTACAAAATTTCTATCCATCTAATCGTTGTTGAGATATTTCAGACAAACTGCTAGTATGGATAATAAAAACATTGACATTAGCATTAAAAAGGAAAATGAATAAACATTCAAAAATATCTAGACATAACACCACATGCTGCAGTAAATGTCGTCACCTCGCTGACATCATCCACCATCTCCAGTTTCTTGTTGGTGTTCTGTTTTACAGACTCAGTCTCCGCTCTGATCTTAGTGATGAGATTGTCTTTAGTCTGAATTTGCCGGTCCATCTCTTCTGTCTGTTCTATCAGGTCCTCGCCCCACTAAACAGGGAGCAGAAATATAGAATACAGAAATTCAATGCTTTCATTAAAACAATCCCATTTTGCTTTCTCTGTCACTTTTGCAGAAAATTCTACCATCATTCAGCCACTTACAGAGGGCACATTAGCCTATTTCTCTGTCATTTTACAGTGTTTTGTCTGCTCAGAGATGCTGCAGTGGTTAATCACCCTCCTCTGGAACAACATGTACCCCCATGAGCAGCAAATCCTGCCAGCATCTTCTCTCCTGTGCCTACTCAGTGTCCCCCACTGCTTGCCAAATGTTAAATTAAGAAAAAAAAATGAAGTGGAGTTAACTGCCCACTCTTCAAAATATGAGAGATACTTATTCCTATATGAGCCTAGTTAAATGAACTGAAATGGTTTCTTGAATATGTGCAGTTATCAAACAAGCTACTAAATGATTCACTATGGGTCTATAATGTGACATAATAATGCTTCAAATTCCATTTGTACCCTGCAGGTGCTGTCCAAACTGACCTCTGTTGTGCGGTTGGTTGGATGTGTTTGGTTGAGCTGTGTTTGGTCAAGCTCTGATGATGGGCTGACATCTGTCAGAGCCAGCTGATGTAAGGATGATGTGATGTTACCCAGGGCAAGCTTTAAACCAGCAGCTTCCTCCTCCAGGGCCAGCTGTTTGGCTACAGTATCATTCACCTGTGCTGTCAGGTTCTCCTTCTGCTGCTGCATTTGTGCTATTCTGAGATAAAAGTAGAGAAAAAAAAGCAGAGAAATTTAGGAACATATAATTTACTGTAATACCCATTTATAAACATTATTTGTTAATACTTAAAAAATAATGTTTCTATTTATACCAGGATGTGTGTTAGTGTTAATATGATAAAGTGAAAATAAGCTTCAGAGCCTCACATATAATTCACATCATTCAGTGCAATCAATTTTCAAGTTCTTGACATGCCATATTTAAATCTATATAAATCTGTAAACAAGACAATGCAGGTTGTTAAGAGTGAGTAAAGAGGAGTAAAGAGAATGCGGCATAGCGCAAAGAAAGCATGATGAATTCAGTAGAGGTGTTAGACACAGTGCAATGGAAGTTAGAGTGCCATTTTCATCACCTCCACAGCTGTAATGATATCCAATCTGTTTTGCGTCAACAGAAACATAAAAATCACAGAGTGTGTGTCATTCCTGTGTTCTTGCTAAAAATAATTCCTTTTGGCAATATTACATTTCACATGTATTGCAGAACACTGGAAAGCTGGAGGTTGTTGTAAGTGCCTTTAATAACAGCCCATATGGTCTGGTTAAGTAAATGCAACAAAAACAGCTTGGTTTAGTTTAGGGAAAGACTGCCCACAAGGTTAAAAGGAACCAAATTCACTGTATGTGGGTAGACGGGATGCAAACTGTCAGCAGTAGAAGAAGCACTCACATCTTATGCTTGCGTTCAAAAGTGTCAATACAGCAATGTACAAATATTCTGTAACAAGTAAAGCACTTTAAGTATCAAAAGTACTTGTTCTACCAAAAAAATGGGCCCTGTGACTGATTATTTATCAATATATTATTATAAATTACGTGATTGTTAAGACTGATGCATCAATGTACAAGTTTAGTAAAGAAGTTCTCTAACCAAGGGTTCAGCCACCATTAAAGGGTCACCAGATAAATGTGGAGGGTTATGAGATGATTAATGGGGGAAAAGGGGAGAATAAAATAAAAAAACATCTTTACGCCTCAAACGGAAACCTTTTGCAAAATTCAGAGGGAAAATCACAGACATCACAAACGTGATAAGAAACCTAAGCTAGACACTGCTTCTTTATAAGGGGTCAGGGAACCCCTGGTTTAGACTACAATCTGGCTTTTGCTGACCTCCAGCAGTTTAACTTCTCACTTTTTTGCAGTGATGTACAGGTGTACAACCTTGTGACATCACTACTGGGTGTGGTTACAGGTGCGACAGAACACACTACTGAACCATACCCATTGAAACAGGCTTGAAACTCTCAGCCAGAGAAGGGAGTAAAACATTGAAGTTACTCTTTGACAATAGATTGTTTTCCATAAGCTCATTATATATTTGTTATGCAAGATCTTAATGTGAAAAGTAGCTAGTGATTATAGCTGTTAAATAAATGTAGTAGTATAAAGTACCTCAGAACTGTATTAACGAACAGTTTGTGAGTAAATGCACACTTTCGTGGTGGTATAAATTGTCACACTATTTTTGCGTTTGCTGCTAGTACTGAATATTAATATAGAGATTTATTTTCAGTAAAAAGTGTTTGAACTAATGAGCATAAGTTAATCTTGAGAAGAGTCTCAACTACACTATTACTACAGCTTTTTTCCATGTTTAAAGAGTTTTTGGGGACTTTAATTGAGGGTCTAAAGATAGAGGGTGGTGTATGCTGTACAGATTGTAAAGCCACCAGAGGCACATTTGTGATGTTGGGCTATATAAATAAAATTCACTTGACTTGACTTAATACAGGCCTATTGTTAGTGACAGGCTGAATACTTTTGTCATCCCTCTGACTGAATAACTGCCCTGCCAATAAAATGCATCTGACCTGCTTAAGTTACCAACACATGGGGAAAAATGTGTGGGAAATGCAATTTTATGCTGCCCATCTGTGCATAAACTGCTCATTTCACATCCTCTTAAGTGACACACACACACACACACACATCCATAAGCACAGACACACACAGTCGTATAGCAGTGCTCCAAAGATTAACAGAACTCTCCTGAACCAAGCTGACTACTGTTAGAAGGGGGTAATCAATTTTGAGTTGCTCGCTTCTTGCTCTCATCATGGCCACCGGAGGGCTTTTTGCATCATTCTGTCTAGCATTCAGGATAATCCTCAGAGCAATCACACGCTAGGAGATGCAGTGAGCGTGCGGCAAATCCAAGAAAGCAATAGGCTTACAGTGGAGAGAAGCTGTCCCCCTGTGGCTAAATGTCTTACTTCTAAACTCCAATGTGCTTTAAAAGGCCCCTGCAAAGAAGAGGACCTTCTGTAATACAGGGATAGGTGCACTTTGTTAGAAATATACTGCAAAAGCGCAGTAATCCAGGGAGTCATGCAGCTTGTTGGGATTTTGCAATACAAGATGCTTCATGTGAATGGGAGACATTCTTTTTCTACTTGTGCTTGTCTGTGTGTGTGTGTGTGTGTGTGTGTGTTTGGATCCATTGTTGTGCTCACTGCTCAGTTAGGTTCCTGATGTACTCCTCTGTGGAGTTGTCCTGCAGTAGATCCATCAGGAAACCGAAGGTCTGCTTTGAGGCTCTTACCGCCCTGCTGGCTACGGCCTCAATGTGGTCTGCCGTTTCTCTGTGACTGCGAGGCAGGAAAAAAAAGAAGACAAAGTGAACGCAGGAGGAAAAAGGAGAAAGTGAGTAACATAGAATAACAGAACATTACAACTGCCTGAGGAGAGATGAAATGGATTTGAGCATCGATGACTTCCCCTCACTGGCTCTCCCGTCCAGATATCTGTAACTACCACATAATAGTGCTGCATACTCTGAGCAGCCGAGGGCATCGATTCACAGTGGCCTAACAACAATGTAAGTGACAAGCTAAAAGTAGGAAGCAAGGAGAAATGAAGTTCCCCAGATTACTACAGTGGTCGTTTCTTATAATTGGCCTTTAAAAGTCCATTCACCTTACCTTTTCATCAGGACCTGTGAGTCATTGACCATAATGTTCCATTTGTTAGGTCCTGACACCACCTCAAAAGGAATTATCTATGAAAAAGAGAGAGAAAGCAGGTCTGAGAAATGAAAAAGTATAGGTTCTGGCCTTGAAGAGACTTCACACTGTTTTGACATGTTTAATTAAATCATGTGAATCTAATAATTGCAGGATTTTTCACACTACAGCTGACTGTGAAGGTTTTTTTTTTATACCCAGCACTGTTTTCTCTGTGAATATGTGTGTTTGGATATGTGTGAAATCTGTTATAAATATCTAGGAACAGGTCATTTGCCTGCCTCAAAATGGTGGTCTGGGATTTACTTTAATTTTGCAAATAATGAAACTCCTCAAATGATCCTCCCCACTATGTATTCAAAACGGTTCAAAGCAAGGAAAAAACCTCCCTCAAAATAAATCCCCTGAAGTTTTGTCCTGATAAATGTAATGTGTATACCGTCAAATGCAGAATCCTTCCCAGAGTGACATTTAATTTGAGAAAATGCAAATAAAAATGGGAAAACTGAATCAACAATTGACACTCTAGCATTTTTTCCTTCATTTTGGGTGGCTGCTCTGATTATTAATATGAAATTAAATTGCTGCAGCTACAGGCTTACCCAAGTGATAAGGGCTACGGAGGTACAGTGTGTCTGCACGCACACACACAGGCACACAATCAGAAATAGAGACCTATATATTGGCAAAACTAGCTCTCTCATCTCCCCGAACCTAAATAACACGGCAGCAGTATCCATAATAGATTCCTGCAAGCGTTGTGGAGAGACGGTGGAAAGCCTTGCGGTGGGTGAAGAACAAGTTGTTAATTTTAGCGTCCATCAAACATCCTTTGGATTTTCCTTAGGAGGCACGAATTTCAACTCAGAGGAAGGAGGGAGGTTGAGGTGTGAGGGGGGGCTAAGAAATATTGCTTTGCTTTGGGGGATCTTTGTGGATCTATACAGAGGAGCTCCACCAAGAGTAGTAAACTACAGCACCCCGATATTAAGGACAAGAAATCAATTGCGTTACATACAATATAAGCATGCTTGTGGAGTGGTTGAACTATCCAGAGCATTTTATGCAATGAAATACCTGTAGTATATGCTAAATATGTGGAAATGCTGATATGTTCGCCTACCATGTTGTCCAGGTCCATTGTTGCCCTCTTTAGCTGTTGCTGAGACGCTCTGATCATGACAATCGTCCCTGTGAAGGTTTGACAAACACCCCTGCTCCCTTCATCCTTCCTGCTCTCCTTCCTCTCTTCCTGTGTCATGCTGATGCTGCAGTTCAAAGTAGATGTAATGCCATGAAGCTGGGCTAAGAGTGTGCCTGTAGAAGCTTCCAGCAAGGAAAATTGTTTTATGAAGGCCTCCCGTGCTTCTGAAAGAACAAAGAGCACAAAGCAAATAAAACCCACGGTAAGTCCTTCATGGATTATTTCACCAAGAATATTATTCTTCCAACTCTGTGTAGCTAGAACGTAGCTGTATTTTAACACATTACTCTCATTTACTGTGTGAATCCAGACTCTCGTCCTTCCTGTTTATCTGTTTGTAGTAAAAAAAACAAAACAATTCCTATATGCAATTCTGTTAACACTTTTGTCAGAGTCTCACTTTGTATTCAATGAGGTTTCGAGTCAGTCTGGAACACAATTAGTACAGTATATCTGCATGTTTGTTGCTTCATTTTGTGACATACTTTGTGTCTTATAAAATGAGACGTAACACGTGTGTGTGTGCCCGAGTGTGTGCTGTTTTAGCCACCGTGTTGATCCCGTTGCTCCCACATGCTCATTAAATTATTATTGGGCCACACAGTGTCTTAAAGTGCATGGCTGATGACTACGTGTGTGTATGTGTGTATAAGTATGTGGGTGTTGGGTGGGGGGTTGTTAGACAACTGTTATCGTGATTGCAACTATAATCATAATAAACCAGGGATTAGAGATGCACCGCCTGTCATATAAATAGGGATTAAGTTGGTCACACAGCGCCTTGTTCTATATTGTTATGATTTGTCTCCATTTGGCCTGCGCAGCTGAGCCTGTAAGCCCTTTCCCCCCCCAAAGATAATGAGGATATATCAGCATTGTGTTAAAGTAATTGGGAGAGGTTTGTATTGTTGCCTGCTTCCTGATTTAATCGCTTTGTTGTGTTGTATCTGTCACACTGAGGAGACACAGACAGAGCAACAGCCCATTTGTAGAACGCTGGGGGCGGTTTCATGTCAAATATCTTAGCCATGCTTGCTGGTCTTGTATGTTCTGATATGGCACGTTATCATCTCACAGCCAAAATGTGACACAATAGTTACAATGGCACATAATCGAGCTTCACATTTCACAAAGCAACGACTGCCAAGTGTCTTCTTACATGGCCACATAGGAAACATTAGAAAGAGTGACAGGCCAAGTGGAATTATCTTGGCTTCTGGCTGCTGTTACCTTGGAAGGCCAGAAAATCCTCCAGAGCATTGGGTAGAGTATCCTCCCTCTGGTGCTCATGCTCATAAAGCCTGGCCATGTGATACTTCAGCAGGTGGTGCTGCTTCCCAAATCTACCTCGGCAATCAAAGTGAGCTAAGAGCTTCTCCAAATCCTGCAGGCGAGTCCTCAGCTTTTCTGCCTGTAATAGCACAGAGATTTATCACTGACTGTGTCAATGAGAATACAGATTTTGCGACACCAAAAAAAAAAAAAAAAACACAGGGCTGCAACAACAAATACTACAGCAAAAATATCTATCCATCCAGATCTGTATTTATTTATTCAGACACAGGGATTGAGATAGGACTCTGATTCTTGGTACACCCTAACATCAAAATGTAGTATTTCAACAAAAGCAATGAATAAATGAATATCAACAACAGGATAAGGATAAAATACGCTTTTCATATCCGCATCCACTCACACTATTCTCTGCATAGCATGTGGCCGAAGAAAGCATTTCAAGAGATAACTAGATTAGACTTCTTAGAAAATGGAAGTCCAAGTCTGAAAATGGAATAAAGGTGCTGTGATTGGCACCAATTTGTTGACCCTGGAAGTGAAATGGTCCAGATCTATAAAAAGAGCCTGTTATCTCACTGTGATCACACCTCCTTTTCACAAAGGAGCATGTTACACGTGTCACACACATGTGATCGACAGGCGTGTTCTACGTGGCTGTTGATTGTATTTAGTAAGCACCCGAGGTGTTAATGAGCTCACATCTTCGGTTGGGCCATTTTAACACCAGGTACAACATATGCTTTACAGTGCTCCTCTGCAGTGAATAATTTGTGCCTTTGAATACATACCATATATCTTTCTTATTATTTTATTCCATTTATTCCACTGTTTTCCAGCTTCTTTTTAATATCTCTCTTGATCATCAATCACACATCTCTGTCTTTTTCTGCCTTTCTTTGTGCTTGTTAGTCTTTTCCTTCCTGTGTGTAAGCCAGAGGAAAATGTGAGCAGAAAGATAGAGAGTGGGAGAGGCAGAAAGGGAGAGCTCTGGGAGACTGAGGATAGTGAGAGTAATTGCAGGTGTTCAGAGCAGACAAGGCTTGGGATGTTCACTGAATTGCTAACACCGTGGAAATCACAGCATGCATTCACACAGGTACAAGCCAGTCCGGAGAGAACACAGAGCCACTTTAGCTGGAACAAGAATATGTACAGAGAGAAGACAGAACATGTCGGTGGTATTGGAAGCCAAATCCAGGGACGCAGCACCTTAGCATACAGACGTGGGTTGCAACAAATCTAAAGGGACAGAAAGAAGCAGCACAGGAGATCATTAGGGCAAAATGTCTCTTTCTGTTTCACTGCACATCTACTGTTTACTTGCAATCTACAAATACAAAAGAGCCATATGGCTGTCATGAGGGTCTGCAAAGGCAAGATGTGCTAGGGGGACTGTGCTATTTCAAGAACAAATTGTACCTCGTAATAGCAAGAGCCAAGACACGATCTGTGTGCAAAGAATTTATATGAATATGTGTAGCAAACATACATTAATAAATGTGAAAAGAGAGCGAATAGGATAAAGATTCAAAGCAAGTATGTTTACTCAGGCAGTGTACTAAAAAGTCTGAGATGCTGAAACCTAACGAATGTAGATTTTTGTAAAATGCTGCACTTTCCTCCCATTACATCCCATTACGAGGGAATTGCTATGCTTTTACACCACATTTATCCGACAGCTGTAGTTAAAGTGAAAGTAAAAACATTCGTGCCGAGACTAATAAATCAATTAGTTGATGAACAGAAGATGATCTGACAATTTTGCTAATCGTTTAATTCATTTCACAAGAAAAAATACCAAAAATTCTCAAATGTGAGGATTTGCAGCAGTTTTTTCCTGGTTGATATCAATTTAAATTGAATATCTTGCAAACTGCTGCAAATTTGTGATGGCATTTTTCAGCAGATTATGGCATTTATGGCTATATTTTTTATTTGATTTAAAGAATCTACAGAATAATGAATAATTGTTAGCTTGAAACTTAAGCTTAAACTGAGTTAGCCAGGACCACCTGTAACACCATTTACTTAAACCTTAAAGCGTTTTTTTTATGGATCACTACTTGTTTGTGAAACGGGTCACTCGTATTGATGACTTACTTAAAGTCTTTTCCCCATTTAGGGGCAGAGCTTGTCATCTCACTCTTTTCTGTGCCTGCATGTAGTGATGAACCTACAGACAATTATGACAGACTTTGCAATTCTCCTCAGCTGTACAGCACTTTCAGCCTCTTTTAGTTTACGATTTTGGTTTTCTGGCCCACAACATTACGGCTGTTTCCTGCAAAAAAGCTCTTAAACCCTTGCTTTATATTGTAGCACCAGCTAGTGAAGCATTTAGCAGCTGAATAACCAGATATTTTCCTCAGGAGTTCCAGCAGTGGCAGTTAGCCTCTACCAAGAAAAGAGACATGTGACTACTGATAACTGTTGCATTTATGTTGTGTCTTCTTATCTGACTTGGTTTCATTCAGAGTTGAAGGCTGCAGTTTCAGTACAGGACTTTTGGAGTGAAGCTGTGTGCAGACTAATGCTAAACTAGTTGTCGCTGGTCAGTAAATACCTCCAAACTAATGTCTCCTTTTGAAAATTCGACATGTTTATTACAGAAGTTGTGACGTGTGGGTGTGGAGGCTTTGAAGTTGTTTAAAGGCACCTATGACGATTAATTAATTCTTTTTGTAATGTAATTATGTTTGCTGTTGAGTAATGAGTAAAGTAATGTAATGGCTTTTTCAGCTTGCCCGCGGCTGTCTGTAGCTGCTGGATGTGTGAATAAGCAATTGTTTGTCAAATTAACCTAAATGGGGATATTTCAGTTTTTGTGTTGACATCATGTTTGTTTAAAGCCACTACTGTATGTGTAGAATTTGAAACACTTCATATTTTGGTGCCCCTGAATGGTGGTTCCTCACACAAACACACACAAACAGCAATAAAACAACTAAACTCACCTGTTCCTTGACAAGGCCATAGCAAACTGGGCATTCCTCACACTGGTGTGTGTCTCTGGCGTGGAAATAGTTTAACTCGCATTTGTCACACTTATAACCCACGAAGCCCTGGCGACAGTGGCAGGTACCGTTACTGTGACACTGCATGGAAATGGAGCCCATTGGGTCACAGTTACAGGCTGGGAGAGGGTACAGGACAGCAGGATGGGATCACAGGAAAGACAGGAGAACAGCGGAAGAGCATATGTAAACATTTGAACAGTTAGCAATGCCTTTATGTTCAATCTGTATTAAGGGATTAGAGGATGGTATAGTGCAGTTGCGATGCCTGAAGTAAAGTCCTGTACCTCTGCAACCTCGTGACGAGAATCCAAAGAAGCCCGCACGGCAAGAATCACAGAGTCTCCCCTCCACTCCTGCACGACACACACACTGCCCTGTGATTGGATGACACACGACTGACGCTGAGCCAATTGGATTACACTTGCACCTAAGGAATACAGGAAAATATTTTAATAATGGATTCAGTTTGTAAGCTCAGTGATGATATCTATTCAACAAATCTGCTCAGTATTTTGTATGTGATTTCCATACCTCTCACACCCTACATCGGGTTGGAGGTTGAAGAAGCCAACTTCACAAAAACTGCAATCCCTTCCGGTCACATGACTGAGGCACTGACAATTTCCTGTCTGAGGGTGGCATTCATTTACATGCCCAGAGGTTCCGGCAGGATTGCAGCTGCATGCTAGTGGAAACAAATACAATAATTTCGTTATCAAAACAATGACAATATTACTTTGTTAACAGCTCAAATCGTGGCAATGCAGGAGGACATTTTATTTTATTTGATCTCAGACTGCCTGAAGGAAAAAATAGAGGGGAATGACAGACGGTTCCAGGGAGACTCGTGGATCTCTTTCTGACATTGTTCTGTACAGAAGTTCAACCTGGGGCTTAAAGAGGATGAACACATCACAGCTATTACTCTTTGGGTCTCTTTCTGCCTTGTTTCATTCAGTCAGAGCTTTTTTAATTCTCCCAACCCACAGACTCTCTTTTTTGTCAGACTCACAGCAGCCATTTGTCCACCCCATTTTCAGCTTTCGCCTTTCATGACTTAAGAGTGCTACACCTGTTGAATTGAAACTCCTGAGCTGATTAAGTCCATTTGAATGCACTATTTTCTTTGTTCCTTTAAAACCTGAACCCAAGGCCATGTAGTCCTTAATGGAATTTGTTCTGAATATTGTTCAGACTATGACTTGACTCTACCTTACTTGTAGTGAACAGAAAAACTTGAATCCTAACAGTTATATTGTGGCATTTCAAGTATGTCTTGGGTGAGGACTCAATAATTTGTAAAGATCCATGTTTTAAGATACATAGAATTACTTTTTTCCAAAATTGCTCAGTCAAACTTCTTAATCTGCTCCTTCTCCCTTATTATAAAATATTGATCTATGAATAAGTGTAATGTGCTTAAGGCTTTCACATCACACCTACGTTAGTTGTGATGTCAAAAGTCATGCTTTATGTAGATTCAAGGGGAGCTTAGAGAAACTTTCCCCTTTAGCAGATGAATGTGAAAACCGCCTTCTAGTGTCAAACTGTACATCATTCTACAGAATGAAGGTCAAACAGGTGAAGTAAGAGGAAGCGTTTGTTAAGGGGACTTCTTACAGAAATAAACTCTCTCAATAAATCATAAAGATAGTAAATTCAAGGTCTGGTGTGTAGGAGTTTATGGCATTGGGAAACTGCTTGCCTCAACCGAGCATGTAGGAGAAACTACAGTGGCCACAAAAAGCCCCTATCCAGAGCCAGTGCTTGGTTTGTCTGGCCTGAGCTACTGTAGAAACATTGTGGTTCAACATGGCGGACTCCGTAGAAGAGGACCAGCTCGTTCTGCAGATAAAAACGGCTCATTCTAAGGTAACAAAAACATAATGATTCTTATTTTCAGGTGATTATACAGTAATGAATGCATACCTATGCATATTACATTCCACCTAAATGTTACCCACTGGCCCTTTAATTGACCATTGTTCCATTGCAGGCCCCTCTAAGTTACTCACGCTTGCACTTCTGGCCAACTGTCTGGTTCAGGGCATCGCCGTAGAAACCCCGCCGGCAGCGTTGGCAGTGGTCCCCCTCTGTGTGTCCCAGGCATTTCACACATCGGCCAGTGATGTGGTCACATATTCCAACCGCGTTGAAGTCCACATTGCCGTTGCAGTCGCATCTCACACACAGACGAGCTGGCCCAGATTGTCCCAGGGGGTCACCATAGTAACCGTCTTCACACATCTGACAGCGCATCCCTACACAGGGGGAAAGGTGAATGAAGTGGGCAGGAATTAGATGGATGACTGAGCTAGAACACAGTTGGAGGTCATGTCACTTCAAAGTATGTTATAATTGAATTAAAAACTCCTATCAGATGTATCTGAGTTACATGTAGCATTGTAGAATCCCTGCAATCCCTGCAAATGAGCAGCTTTAAAGCCACAGTCTTTTCAGCATCAAGCTGTCTTGTGGAAATGTGCTTATCATTTTGTTCTTGACGTGAAGCCCATTACTTACAGTGTGGTGCCGTTAAAATGATTTTACATTGTCGGTGGTTCATCTCACCTGTCTGTCCTGTAGGGCAGTTGGTACAGACCACCTGTCCTGTCTCTGCAATTTGGGCACAGCTGGTGCGGTCCGGGCAAGGGCAAGGCTGACAATCACCAGGCATGCCAATCAAAGCGTTGCCATAATAACCATCCAGGCAGTGCTCACAGGTCATCCCGGTGGTGAAGTCTGAGCACTTACAAACACCTGAAACAGAGAGAGGAGTATAACAACTACGTGCTCCTACTACACACATGCACACCTGCTTGTATTCGTCATTGTTTTTCCACACTTTGAGTTTGACACAGATAGACCACAGAGGGTGATGTTTCCCCCATCACCAGCAGAGTGTGCTGTGTCTCTGACCATAACTGCAGCAACTCCACAGCACAAAACGCTAAGAAAACATTCTCCACAGCCCACCGTGGAGAGAAGACAACTAAATTCACCCCGACTATAATTGCTTTGGGAAATATAAGAGCCAAATGCAGTCCGAAAGACCTTCAAGAAGTAAAGCAATTCCCCCACCAAGTGGGAGAGTTACCAATTCTATGATGTCCTAAAAACAAACATGTTGTTTCGAAAGCCTTAGAAAAACAACTCACAGCCTTAAAAACACTTTAAAGGATTGTTCATGTGCAGCATGTATTGATATACACGTGTATATACACCGGATCTCTGATTTATTCTGTCCTCTTATTGAGCAGATTTTCATCCCTCATTATGGCGTATTTCAAATCCAGTAAACTATAGGCAGCACTGAATGACAGTGATAATCAGAGACAAAATCCACAGTAGCGAAGAAATTGACATCACATCTGGGCAGATTATATGACTGTAAAATGGCAAAACAATTCAGAGTAAAACAACCCTGTCTCTTGCTGCAGCTCAGTGACCTGCAGTGGCTCTAACATCACAGACTGAGATGATAGGACCCGCATACACCCTCAAAGCCCCCTCTGTGCTTGCGGAATTTGTGCAAGAGCAACTTCTGAAATGAAACTGAAAATTTGACATAACACAATGTGGCATTCTAATTTAATAACTGACTGACTAAAGCTTACAGAGGGGCCACAAAGTAATAAGTGTTAACATTCTTGGAAAACCACAAAGAAAAAAGCAACTGCTAAGATGCTTACAAAGTTAAATTTATCATAAGATCATAATGAGCAGACATTCATTAAATTTTAATCACCACTTATGCATTTTAAAATGTAACAAAATAATAGCTGCTTTTATTCTGCCATGTGCAACTGCAAGAAGATATTTAGCATTCTTGCTGCACTGCACTGTTTGGCTTTTAGTATTCACCGAGTGTCTGGATATCAGAGAAGTTACAATAATTTGTATCATTTTAAAAATTTCAAAGTTTCTCAAATGACTTCAGCATGGGTTGATAACAATAATTGCACTGATTTTCTAGAGAACACCAATAAGATCTTGATGCATAGCAAATAATCCACGGGCATGCGATTTTAGAGTCCTCATTAAAATTTCCCATCACTCCCTCATAGCCTACGGTGTGATTCAGTGAGAAGCTCTTTGCTGTGCATTTTTAAATCAGCTCACGCCACTGAATATCAGAGTAAAGAAATTCTTGCCTCTAGTTATGGGGTCACTGCAACCAATGTATCCCATCACTAAATAAAGCCCTGTTAACTTAAGACCTGTAAGTCAAGTATATGAGATAACGGCTGCAAAGCTAAATTGATCACACAGCCATTAGAGGGAACAATTATCCCGTTGCCTGATGAAGTGTAGACTTCTGGGTAAAAATCATTAGTTCATCGGTGAGGTGAGGTGAATAATACATGATTTCCAAGCACGTAATGCCAGTCATTTAAACAGAGTATTTAGTAATAATGATTGTTCCTAGCATAAAGAAGTGAATCTTTCTTGAATTTCACAAGGCATTACAATGACACTGATGGCGTGCAGTGTCAATCCCCAATGAGCCATAGTAAATTTAATGGCAGCAGAAATGTGCTGACTTTACTGAGTGTGAAGATGACTGAGTGCGATATGAGGCGGTAGAGCCACTGAGGGCCTCCTCGACACTATTATCATTCCATCGGCTCCTCAGAAAAGCTAACGCCATGCATCAGAAACTGTGGCTGAACGGCAGGACCGCTCGTCACATGATGTTCCTCATCATCATGCTAATCGTCATTACTTCATAACATCCCTGCAGAATAATTTTGTCAATGAATCAATGAGCGTTCATTCAGATGTAATGAATTGGGATTTCTGTGACGTTCCCTGCGGAGCTACACACTTTGAATCCTTTGACAAATCCACACAATCCCGCTATTCTGCTCTCGCCCTCTCATACTCCTCCCCTTTTCAGCTATGGAGCACTGCACTTCAGTGCAGCGCTTTCCGCCTGAACTCTGCTTGTCTGTTCTGTGATGGCAAAGCAATATTTTTGTATGGGAAACAAGAAGTGGGGAGGGTTTATTTATTCCTTTTTTTTTTTAAGAGATGCCCTCCATCATATACACATCAGACTCCAAAGAGCTCTTTTCCACCACTGCTCATTACCTGTACCTCATCCCTCCACTCTGCTCCTCATTGTGCTCTCTCCAGAAATACACACACATCCAGTACTAATGCACTTCATTAAGGAAGCCACTTGTGGAGAATAGGAATACACTGGAATACATCACTGTATGATAGCTGCAGGGACACGGACAGGCACTACAGAACGAATGAAAGACTGGTGGCTTTACCTTTTTCCACATTTCTCTCACTCCGTGTGTTTATACTTGTGCGTTATTCAGTGTTCCTCTCAAACAAAGCACGATGAGTAGCTCCTTCAAAGATAGTGGTTATCGTTGTTTGCAGGAGCTTGTAATAGCTTTAACGCCAGATGGAGATAGAAAAGTGGGAGAGAAAATTCAGAGAGAAATAGATTTAAAATAAGTATGTTTTTGTTTGGAAGAGAAGATCAGCATGGGCCTCTCTTCTGTTATTACATTCTTGCCCTCAAAATCTCATTTATTTACTGACCAAATTGAGTTGCTTAAGATCATTGCATATCGTTCTGCACCACCTTGGGAGGTCTTCATGAAGGACAAGGGCAATGTGTGAGGTCTTTGACAATGTGTGAGCCCAGAAACACAAGTAGAAAAAGTCACATGGGTTCAAAGCAACATGTGGCTGCTTGAGTTATGTGACTGTTTATGCTTCTTTATGCCGTCAATGCCTTTCAAGCGACTATAAAAAAATTGCAACTAAATCATTCTAAACTAAAACATACATTTTGCTGCTTTAGATAAGCACCACATGGATGTGATGTTAATGACTTGAGCTTTTCAAGACCTCCACATTTTCCAAGAGGTTTGTCTACTTAGCCCAATGGAACATTAAGAAGCTTCGGGCTAAGGAAATCTATTTACTAATGCATGTGAACACCCTGTTTTAATGAAGGAGAGGAGGAAACAAAACACAAAGAGAGAGGGAGAGAGGGAGAGAAAATATTGTCTGCAGCTCGGAGGCCTTGAGGGTAAATGTTGGGGTAAATTTGCTACGGGACTGTTTGATGGTGATGTTGCTCTCTAATTTAACACAGATATGCTGCTAGTGCCTACTGCTGCTGCAGATGTGACTTGTCAGTGGGGTCTGAATGAGTGGACTGCTGCAGAGGAGAGAGGGAGGATGAAGTAAAGGAGGAGGAGCTGTTTATTCTGTCCACCCCCATACATAATGTGCACAATACAGATGACTGGGAAAATATGTTTTGTCAGACTGTGACTGTGGAAAATAAATGCATCAATTCCTTTTTTGTGTACAGAAGCTGTCAGCCAAATTGCTATGGCCAAGGCCCTAGGACATCAGGGATGGGAACACTAAAGGCAGTGTGTATAACTCATGTTGTCGGTCACAAAGTTGTCAAAGAGGAGTTGGACAATACTCTGTATTCTCTCTGATCAAATCTCAATTCACCCATGAAACTGATGCAATAAGCTACTAAATGATTGTCCTTATGTTGCAGCCTTATTTAATTTATCTAGCAAGGGAGAGATTTCCTTTGGAATGTAAACAAGTACTTGTGACATATTGCATTAGGTAGAGACAAGTATCTGTGTTTGTGTGGCCTGTCCTCTTCCAGGTCTTCAGGATGGACAGGAGGTCATATGACTCAGGTCCTATTGGGTGACACCTGAAGTTTTTCAATGTCCATGCTTTGAAACTTGTTCAAACTGTGAAGCCCCCCCCCAGAGGCAAAATGTGATTTTGGGCTACATAAATATAATTTGACCTGACTTGACTCGTCAGTCCACCACTTTGGTCCTCAAGTAACCCAACATTTATTAGTTGGATTGCATGAATTTTTCATTCATGTTCCCCTGATGATGAATCCTTTGGTGATCCCCTGACTTTTCATCTAATGCCACCAGCAATTCAAAGTTGTCACTTATCCTGTGAAGTATTTTACTCCTACTACTGGAGGGATTGGCACAGAAGTTTGGGCAGACATTCATAGTCTGCGGATGATGCATCTTTATGAATTTGGTGATCCCCTGACTTTTCCTCTAGTGCCACCATGAGGATTTAGTGAAATGTTTCAACAGGTGGATGGCCATGACACACTCATATTACCCTCACAGTGAATTCAACCAACTTTGGTGGTCTCCTGACTTTTCATGTAACGCCATTATGAGGTAATTTTAATGAGTCCAGTGCTATTGGTTTATGACAAAACACCTGCAAATGAATGACATTCCAGTCAACACCAGCATGTTTAATAGGCGCCTAAGCACAACCTCGCAGAGCTGCAAGCATGGCTGTAGACTTGCATGTCCCACAAATTGTGTGATATCTCTATTTACTTCTATTTACATTTTATATAACCAGCTGCAACAAAGTGAAAGACTTAGTAGCTCTCTGTAAGATACAGTATGTGGTTTAGTTCTTTACTAGAGGTTATTTTTTCATGCTGTTCTTAGGCAAAGGAAGTTTCCTCATTTTCATAAATTTTAGTGATCCACCAAGTTGGTTGTGCTTGTGTTTTCCTTGTCTAAAATAATTTCATCAGGGTAAAGGTTGAAACCTTTTCAGACCGACGATATCTGACAGTGTGACTGGAAACCAAGGCATGCAGACAGAGTGTGCACATTGTTTATCTTTCTATTTATTTTTGTGTAAAATAAATGCGCTGGTTGTGAGAAGATAAGTAAAGCGTGCTGAATAGGATCAGCAGGAGA